CTTATCATCCCCCTGAGTACAGATAGACCTCGATAGATCGATTAATCGATCCCCTAAAAAATGTACGATGCACTCAGACTCCCATCCCTTCCTTATCGATAACCCCTGCGGATCTGGACGTGCCCTATAAATATCAAGTATCACATGACGTCTTAATAAAACCAAAAAATAGTGCCATAAGACGTTCACTTTGGTCTAGGAAAATGAGACCACCCACCCTCTCGTGGTCGTTAGTTTCCCTGGCATATGGGGTGGAAACCGGAGGATGATGGCGAAGAAAAGAGACAAGATGAATGCAAGGGGGTGAGGGGACGAGACCGAAGGGGGCGGCTGGAGCTGTGCTAGGGAAATTCGATGAAAAGTCACAAAACCCGAAGATCGATACGCCCCTGTAGGTGCCTTTATTGGCTTTATGCCAATGCCAGCTATCTATGTGGAACACCTGCGCGTATATATTCCTCAACCCTCATCCCTCTTTCCGATTCCGTAGAGGAATTTTTACCCTGTATTCCAAGGGTGAGTGTAACTGATCTTTGGGGGTTGGAATTCATCTGGGAGGCAATATCACGTGATCTCCGGGGGGAGGGAATTTTTTTCGAGGAAACACCTATCGGGAAATATGTAGCGATCGGAAAAATAACTGATTCCTTATTTTTGTACTGTTTTTCTAGAGAATGTAGAAAATCGATTAAAGCTTGACAATTAATTATAATTAATATCAATTATCGTTACGGTTCGCGTCGGTGGGCTATTCGATGCTTCTTGATTTATTTGATGGGCATCGGGCAATTGGGTAAACGCATTATCCTCGGCTTTTCGGTATTAATGATTATTACTCCGTGTTCTTCGACAGTAATAATTATCACCTTCGCTGTACCACATTTTATCTACATTTATCTAGGGGATTCCACTCTCCTTGGTACGACGTTTATCGAAATTCTGAATTCAATTCACCGGTGGATTGCGCCTTGGAATTCTCCTTTTTTCGGGAGAAAACTATTTCGCGGAGTCAGTGGAGTGAATGGGAGCAATCGTCCGGATTGTTTGGGGTGATTGGAGCAATTTGATATGAGGAAATCGAAACAATCGATCTGTTTCTCAATTCTCGAATTTTCAACTCAGTCAATGGCCATTATTTTCCCAGCAATTGATTAAAATCTATTGCTAATTCCTTTAAAAAAAAATAAAATAAAAATCCTCAAAAAATATTTTCATGTGGATTTCCAGTTTCCATTGATTCTCCGATATTTCCTGCCATATGTACTCGTGTAATTGTCCGTTTTTGATATTTCACAACCAAGTGTAAAATTCAGTGAAAATTTTCATGTATTTCGAGCAGAAGCGGAGTAAAAACAAATCTGGGAAGAATGGATTGAAATATCGATAGCCGGGAGGCTCGAACTATTCTGTACACACAACAAACGCAAATGTCCCACTCTAAACTGATTTGCTGGATCCGACAAAAAAAAAACCATAAGATCAAACGAAACAATGACTCACCCCCTGGGCGCTACCAAAACCATTCTCCCCCTCCTCCCGAATTAAACCCCCCAATTCCCCACTTTCCAAAACAACGGACCACAACTCACCCCCACGTGTTCGCAATACAAAACACGGAGAATAATGAAACGACATTTCATTGTACACCCCCACAATGCACACCCCATCCCCTGAATTAACCCTCCACTCCCTCACTCATACGAGTCCTAGATATTCCCCAAGACTCGTCACTGCAATTGCAATTTCCATCATATCGAATCTCATTATTCACAGCCCTAAGACACCCACGTCAGTATTCTATCTCCCCCCGTTCATGGGCCCCCTCGGCCCCTATTTTTTTTTATTTTTCAAACCCAATGTATTCCGAGAACTACTACAACCCATTCTCTTTATCGACATTCGCCTACGTGCCCCAGGCGTTATTAGAATTCCAATGTACGTCGA